ATTATCAAACCAACGGACTAAAAAATTATCTAGAACATAAAGATGAACAACGAATCGCTTTTTAATCGTCAATTTGTGGACTTTGAAAGCAGAGTCTGAGATTTTCAGAGTGTATTCACATTGGAAGATGCCAGATTTATTTCGTCTGTTGCTCGAAAAGATGTAAAAGAATTACATTAAGCCTCTGTTGGCTTAAACTGTAGTCTAATTCATATTCGTAGACGACGAATCGAGTGACGAATATTCTCAGTTTTCAAATACCTTTAGCGTCCATGCACGAGATCTTGGATTTAGTTGCATGTTCGGAGAAGGTTAGTATTAGTGAAGAGGAGCTGCAGGCTTGGGTGGATGTAGACAATTCTCTTTCCATCACACTTTCTCAAGATGATAGAGAAATAATTGGACATGTACTGGGAAAGACGAAAGACAATGAAAATGAGGACACGGATGAAAATGAAAAACGACATGCCGAGTAAGAAATTTACCTGAAAGGAAACTGAGGAAGTATACCGTAATTTAATAAGATATTATGGAGTAGCATTGTATACACAGCGAATTTTTAAAACCACGGCGATAATCTTGCAAACTGGCGGACATTCGAAGTTATGTATCATATCACACCAAGAAATTCACAACTTCATTTGTCAATAAATACAATAATTTTAAGCCTGTTTAATTTCGTTTTTCTGAAATGCAAAATCAAGTCTATGTGTTTTAGTTTTAAATAACCTCTGCTATCTTTGATATTCTTTACTTAACTGTGACCAAAAAGACTACCTACGGGTTTCGAAAGCTGCAATTTCTACAGATGGCCTCGCAAAACATGAAAAAAATTATAGAAATATATGTCAATTTTAAGGTAGATTTTAAAAGGGACTATTCAAATTTGAAAGATTTTGTAGTGACAATAACGAGGATTATAAATACGAACAAAGATTCAGTTGGAATTCAGCACTGAGACTCAGATTTTGGACTTTATATGTTTTTTTTTTTTTTTTTTTCCCTTATATATATATATATTTTTTTTTTCTGGCCAGTCCCATTTTTTAATCATACGGCCGGCTTTGTGCCGGCTAGGAGGATCGGGCTGTGCCCTTATAATAATAATAAAAATAACAATAATAATATCAATTATCCAGAATCGGCAAGGTCCCTTGGCTGCTGGTTAAAAAGGATTCTACCATACAATAATTTGTGAAAATTCCAATATCCTCGAAAAATAAAACTTATCCTTTGTGGGGCCTCTATATTACACCAAAAGGGCGTTAGCCCAGAAAGGCTATTAGCCTGGAAACGGCATTTTCCGTCGAGTCACTAGAAGCATTGAATCACTTTTCAAATTGTGGCTACTAAATATCATCGGCCTGTTTAATATATAAAGAAATTAAATAATGAAGAATCTGCATGAACATATGTATGTTTCTCACGCTGTGAGAAAACAACGGTACCTACAGCAATCAATTTTAAACAACGTAGTCCTCCACCCGAATATGGGCCTGAATTCGGAATTTCGAATTTGTTTTGTTGTCTATTTCCTATTTTGTAAAACTTTAACGAATTTTCGATTAAAAATGCATGATTTTAAAGCCAGCTTTGGCAACACTGAACGAAAGAAAATATTTTTATCTCCAGCTTGCGAGACTGTCTATCGGAAATTCCGATGATATGCTGTTTTTAAATATAATTTACTCAAACGTGCGTCGGCCCAAATGCTCTCGAAACGGCTTTTGAAACGTGTATGTGTGTGTAAATTGGGGGGGGGGGGGGGGGGAGTAATTTGAAAATGGATCCCTAGCCATTATGAAATTAAAAAATATCTAATTAATTATTTTAGACGCTTTAGCTTTATGGGTCCCAGATTTTCAAAAATTCTTATTTTAATTTTAAATTGCGGAACTCCAGGGTTCCGCGGAACATAGTTTAAAATCCACCAAACTAAAGCGATCAACAACTAGCCATTTATCTTTTTAGCTGTCTGATACAAGCAACAGATTCCCATCATTTTTAATACAAACAACAGAAAGCTACTTAAAAAGTTATGTTTATTAGTGCGAACATAGCATGCGGCTAGGAAATTAACCAATTTCCAAGCACTAGACATCATTTCCTACTTCGCTCGCGAGTTGCCTAATTGCATGTCCTTGCATTTACAAAGTATTAGGCTTAACAAAGGCGGCCCGATTTCCTTTGCCGATTCAAACGCCATCAAAAGAACGCCGCCGTGCAGAAAGATAACGGTTAGCGAACTCAAAAGTCTAAAGAATATTATTTCTTTTAATTGCCATCGTGGCAATGAAAAGCGGCAAAGAACGACATAACACGGAAGTAGATATTTCTCTTCATCAACTCATAGGTTGCTCATTAACATTATTTTTAGCTTCACGGACTAATGGAATGTTTTACAGAAGAATCGGAATGCATTGTATCGTGTTGTAATTTATATTTCATTGTTATTACGGTACTTGATGATGTTGCGATTAAAAATGGCGTAAGTCCGTTGCCACTAAACGTAAAAAAGGAAACGAAATTAAACATCTTTAGAAGAGAAAGAGCTATGCAAGCAACAATATAAAGATATAAAATGTCCATACAATTTGCTAAACTAAAATCTGCATCAGAAAGCTTTTGAATTTAACTTTGTAAAATCAAACAGGAAAAATTTATTGCACAATTTTTCCCTCAGTTGTTTTTGACATCAGAAACGTTTTAAGAGACGTCTGTCAAAACATTTTTGGATTATTATATTCAGTATGATGCGCTCCGCACAGTTCGCAAAGTTCTGTCATTGTGTGAAATAAAAGTCTTTTAATTTAGCTTTCGAATTTGTTTAGCTAATTATAACTCCTGAACAGACTCGGCGATTTCAAAGCAAAATTAAAGTATTTCTTAAAGCCTTTTATTTAAAAATTGTATTTATTCTTTATTTTATTTAAAAATTGTATTTATTCTTTATTTTATTTAAAAATTGCATTTTTTCTTTATTTTTTAAATAACTAAAGAACGTAAATTTAAAGATATTTCATTTATAATAATCATCTGGCAAAAGCCATATAATAGGGATACAGTCATAAACTTTCCTTTAATTTAATTTATTATTTAATTATTTCCTCATGTGTTGAAGACAAAATTAAAAAATCTGATGTGTACACCACATGACTTCCTTGTACGGAATATTAAATTATACGCATTTTTTCTCGCATTTCATTTAAACTTATTGGATTGAATTAAATCTACTTCGCCGACAGCGCATAAACTACAATAGAATAAATGCATTCTTTAAAATTCAGTCTAGTATTTGTTTATCATAGCGACACTCTAGCGCTAGATTCACTTAACAGTATTATATTTCGTTCATATTATAACTCATAATGCACAAAATTTATATAATTTAAAGAACAGAATTATCTAATCGTTGCCACATGTTCTATTCAAATACTATAATAAAGCTAGAAAGATGTATAAAAGAAATTAAGCAAACAAAACAAAAAAGAAACAGTTTTTCACAGACGATTGAGTATTTCTCATTCAATTAATTCAGTTCTCACTTCGCGAGAAGGCAAAAATACATAAAAACTCAAAATATCTATATTAAAAATTACTAAGTAAATCATAAACACTTATTTCCTCGAAAAAATTCCAAAAAGGATTAAGCATGATTTAATTGGCAATAATAAATGAAGGCGTTATCTTTGTTGTTGCCAAGCTAAGTTTCTCTAGATTGGCAACAAATCCACTAATTTTTGTTTCAAATGTAAACAATCAATGGCCGCCATCAAAGAAAAAGGCTTAGCGGCACTTAAACAACTTTAAATTTGTTGATAATTCTAAAAATATTGCATACAGATTTACTAAAGGCATAAAAACCTTAACTGGAAGATAAAAACAACATAATTCAATCATTTTTAAAGCAAAAAATGTACAATTTACAAACATATAAGAGTAAAGAAACAGATCACTGAGCCGGGTAACAAAGTGGATATATATATAAATATATTTATATACGTTTAATGCGGCCGATTGCAACCAAAATACGAGTTGCACACCTACATGTTATAGCAGTCCTATATATAAAATTTCCACGTTCTGAGGCTACTCGTTTTGAGTTATGCGAGATACGTACGTACGCACGTACGTACATACGTTCTTACAGACGCCACGAAAAATTCTCTTCAGAATTAATTTTAAAGCAGTTTTATCATTTTTTTTGGAGGAAACGAGTCTTTTATTCTGTCCTTACGTACAGATATCACGCAAAAACATCGTTAAATTGCATTCGATAGCGGTCAAAATGGATATTTTCGTTGAAATATGCTGCCTGAAACTTTTCGCGATTACAATACTTTTTACTTCGTACAAGGAAGTAAAAACACTGCCACGTTAATTAAATATTGATTTTAACTAACAAGTTTGCGTGTTTCTGTTGAGTTTTGTCTGATCAAATTTGACAGAATTAAGTTTTAAGTGTAGATTTTAGAAGAAAAAAATTCCTTGTAAATACACGATAAAAATATTTAGCACGAATTTTTTTTTCATTAAAGGAAAAAAGAAATGCAGAATAACGGTAGAGTTCTTTTATGTAATAGCAATTTTTCAGTATTGTGCTATTTTTTATGTATAGTATAGTGTATTTTTTTATGTATATTATACTTTTTATATGTAAATTAGTTTAAGATTTTTTTTGGCTTAAGAAGTGTATTCCATAATTCATAACCTTCAATTTTTTCCCATAATACGCTTTATCGAGTCCTTTTAAGAAGCTCGTGCTATTCTTCAGAGAAACATACCTTTCTTTAAATAACAGATCCCCCCCCCCCCCCGTTTTCAAGAAATTCTTGTTGAATATACTATTTTCCCGATTAGAAACAGAAATCATCGACAGACTAACAGTATTATTGTTTATTTACTTTTTTATTGCTGTTGTCAATACCTTTCCACTCTGAACGCATATCACGTGCTACAGTCAGAATGATCAGACAGAAACAAGATCTGTGGCGAATTACCTCTTAAGGTGGCGAGGAAGGCTGCTCAGTTTCGGTCCATTTTCTTTCGTCTTCCTTTTAAAATGTGTATCATGGGAAAACAGAATCCCTTAGAACAGGGAAAAAAAAGATTACTAGTCCACCTTTTCTGTGTCTTTTCAAATGGTGTCCTCCATTTCTAAGACGTTTTATACATATAAAATTACAAAATTGATTAATGAATAAAAACTGCATGTTTAATACTGCATATTTAAAAAAAATAATGAACTACTTTTATGATAATTTAGTTGGAACTTAAAAGAATTAAATTTTAAAATAGTTAATTAATATGGATTATAAAATTTCAATTTAAAAATAAAATGCGTGAATTTAATTGCAAAGCAATTAATAAAGCTATAAATTTACTTTTGTGCTGTTAAGTGCACTGATATTTTGTGAATAATCATAATTAAAAAAAAAAAAAAAAAAAAAGAATAGTGCGCCCGTTTACCAAGTATTTTTATTTGTTTGTTTGGATCTCTTGGGAAAATTCCTAAGTGTGTTCGGCTACATTAAATGCTTTCTAAAGCATTTCGAGTACCATTACTAATTATCTCCGACAGCAGAATGCTGAAAATGGTATTTTAAAAATTCGCAATTGTCTTAATTCTTAAGCTTCTTAAATTTTGTGATGAAGGGAAAAATGAGTTGAATTTTCTTTTAAGAGCTTAAGACATTAACAAAGAAAAGCTAAGAATTAAAAAAAAAAAAAAAAAAAGATTAAAATTAATTTCGAAATAATGGCCATCAACTTTTTTCTTAGAAAATATTTAAATACTTTTTTCGCCCTAATTACAGCAGTTCTTCGATAATACTCTAAATCCTTAACTCTTTGAGAAATGCGAAAAAAATACGAAAACTGGCTGCTACAAATCGACATTTTCTCTTTTCTATCGACTTACATAAAAACTCTTTTTTTTTTTTAAGGAAAAGAAAAAAAAAAAAAAAACTTCGATAATCTTTTTTAAACCAAAAGCATTCCCATATAACACGACCCACACTACTTTCACTGCAACTGTAACTGCAAGCTCGTTAACAGTATTAAGGGGAAATCACCGTTAATTACTACTCTTCGTTTAACGCGAAATAAAAGAACATTTAAAAAAAATTATTTTTGCATCTTAGCATTCTGTTCATTGAAGGTACTGAAAGTTCACGGTCACAGAATTTCGCCCGAAGGACATTCTCTTAACGGTAACTGCACTGGAAACAAACATTCCGCCAAGCCAGTCTGTTGTTTGCTGAGTATCCCCTGGGAAAGTGCATTGGGCATGCCAGGTCAGGTAAGGTTACAGTACCGTAACAACTGGAGATTGTTATGGAAGTGATTTGGAGGAAGGAAAATCCGATCGCCAGCATGTTAAGTCTGACTCTATATTTCGAGGACTTGCTTGTCATCTCTTCGCGAGAGCCTGCTTCGTTCTTTTCCATGATTTGTTTTGGAGCAACGAAAGAATGGGATAAGGACTGTTGAAAACTACCGTTCGTATCGATTTTGATGCTTGAAAACAAACCAGTTTTCAATGCAAATAAATAAAACTGCATTTATAGTGTAAGTTTGCATATTCCTTTTTGTGCTCTCAATTGCGGTGGCGTAGCTAAAGCTTTGGCCGCCCGGGGCGGTCCCGGAATTTGCCGCCCCTCTTGATAAACAAACATATGACTAAAAAATGTAAAAATGATGTATAGGGAAATAAATTTAAATTCTACGAGTATTTTTGAAAAAAAGATTTCAATTCCAACTTACAAAATTATATTACTGTTATATTCTGGCTTGTTTTTTTGATTCGAAAAGCAATTCTAAAGGTCATTGTAGAGGTCTACTTAACTGCTCCTAATAACATAAAATGCTATGCAGATAATGTGGAATGATTTCTTAAACTCGCCGCCCAACCGGGATGAAGGTGACTGCCGCACAAAAGGCCCCGCGTTCGAATCCCGGAGAAGGTAGGCACGTTTATAGTGTACAAATGTTATAATAATTACAAAAATGTGTATAGTGCATGTGCCACACGGGGACACTCTAAATATGCGGTGAGTCAAAAGTCCTCTCGAGAGGTTGGTAGAAGGCAAAAGGGTGGGAGGCCCTTGGACCCGTCCCCCCCTCCCGAATATATGGTCACCTATCTACAAAAATTCAAGAGGAGCGGTCTCCCACGTTCCTGTTCGGTTTCCCCTAGTAATAAGGCAAATAAACTCTGAAAATGCTTCTCTCTAAGCGAGGAATTTTGCCTTATTAATGTCACCGTGATCATAATTTAGCTTATATTTGTAATTATCATTCAAAAGTTCCGAGAGAATAAAAAAGGTAAAGGAAAAAAAATCTGAAAAAAACATTAGGTCTTCCAGATGCCCACATTCAGTGAAGAATTACGTTACTCAAAATTTGATGTCTCTAGGTATCATTGTTTTATCACAATGCGATAAACATACATACATTTATGCAGATCTGCATGACAATGAAGAATCAATTCTTCATCATTTAATTTCTTTAAATATAACACAAGGCGATAATATTTGGTGGCAACAGTTTGAAAAGTGTGATACGGACATTTATAGTGAATCGACACAAAATGCCAAACTAACAAGATTGTGCAGCTGTTGAAAATTCGCGCTGATTTCTCTGAATACTTTACTTAGAGGAAAAAAAAACACTCTTTTACCTCAATTTAATTAAATATGGAAAATCGGAATCTCATTACTTATACTTTTTCGATGTCTCGACGATCCACAAGACTAAACCTTATAAAATAATGTTCCATCCGAAAAATATTGCCCCCCAAAATGTGCTTTCCAGGGTGGACACTCCCCTTCTAGATACGTCACTTGTCAATTGATGTATTACGTGAACCTTCAACACGCTGTTACAATAGTTCCTCATTGTGATGATGTGAAAAATGAGGAATGCCCTCGCCGGGACTCGAACCTGGACCTCTCGGATACGTGCCGTGTGTGCTATTGCTACACCACGAAGGCATGCAGAAAGGAGGGAGAAAATAGCTTACATGTGTTTTATTTTTTATAGCAAGTAGAACAATTTTCTAAACATAAGCATACGTACCGAAGCAATATTTAAAAAGTTGGATTTCGTAATTTCTACAAAAGTGATTTCTTTAAATTTAAAAAGGCTGAAATCATTTATGGTTCTTTGTGTCACTTAAAATACTTTTGGAACTGAAAGTCTATGTATACGACAAACGGTTGCGAAAGTAAATGCTGTGATTTTGGTATTCAAGGTGTATATGCTCTCTCATGGCCCGAATATATAATTCCTCGTATGGCTTGCCGGGACGAGGGTCTTGGTCGTGGTGTTCTGTTCTGTATATGCTCTCTGTGGTCTACCTCGTAACGGTCCCTCCATGGTCGCGGTAGAGGGGCGGCAACGTTCTCCGGATGGGGAGTGGCAAATGAACTTGCCACGAGGCTGCGGGTGGCATCCTATCATGGAGGCTAGAGCAGATCTTGGTGATACATTTTACATCACGATATGGTTGTGCTCGGTAATGAGTACTCTGGCTGAGGATGCTCGTCATGGGGTCATATTGTCGGCACAGTCAGGGTGAATGTTGTATACCGGTGATAGAACGTATTTTAGTCTTGGAATGGGTCAATACCATTTAGTATACATGCCTATATACATTTGCGAAAATCGAGGAGTATCAACGGGCTGGAAACTGCAGCGCTTTAAAATGCGCCTTAAAAAGTTATCCATGAAAGCATCTCTTCTCTTAGGCAGCTAACTCTTTTATTGTCTTAAATGGTTAAAACAAAACAGTCGCTCCTCCTATTTTTCAAAACGATTTTTGTTTCTTCAAAATCCACAGAGTTTTTCTTTTTTTTAATCCGGGCCAAAGTTTGCTTTTTTGCTTAATTTTAAACTTTAAATAAGCGTGTCTCGTTTCAAATTAAACATCAATTTTTATTTACAGTATTTATTCATTCTAAAATACATAAACGATCTCTTTTCTTCAGGAAAAGAATAAGCGGGGAGGAGGGAAAAAGGAAACGAAGAGCAAAGTGATCTTAATGGAAAGTATTCCATTCAGGAGCAGCTGCAAGATATCTCTTTTCCGTTAAAGTTGGGTAATGAGCACCGAAACACCATATTTGCACGGCAACCGTAATCGGAAGTTATGCTGCAGCAGATGGAGACAAATAAAAGTAAAGACTTTTCTGCTTACATAAGGGACAGACTGAAATAACGATTTTTCTCATACAGGTTCTTTTCTCGTCGAATATAACTATTGTTCGCTTAGCAAGAATCAGGACAAATCTGTTGTTCCGTATTCCGATTTCTGTATACATTGCAATTAAGATATAACGAATAAAATTCTATACTTACGTAAACATTCGTACTGAATATGCAGGGGCGTAGCTAGAGAGGGTCAAGGGGGGCATCTGTCCCCAGGCGCAGAATCCAAGGGGCGCCAAACTGATGTTAGGACATTTTAGAATTAAATGCTTTGCATCCTTGGCAAGCAGTATGGGGCGCGAAACCTTTAGTTGTCGCTGGGCGCTGAAAACCCTAGCTACGACGCTGTGAATATGAATACATTTTGGCTTTTATGCATTTCTTAAAGTATTATGCAAATATATTTATTTATTTAGTATACTGCTTTTATTATTTATTTAATAATTTTACAATGCATTTTTTTATATTTTATATATCTTTAATATGTATTTTTGGGAGCATATATGTGTATGTATATTTTTTGTACATTTGTTTACAGTGTATTTTTGTGTTTTTTGGTGTTATATATTGGTTATATTTTGGTGGTGTTATTATTTTTGGTGTTTTTTGGTGTTATATATATATATATATATATATATCAAGGGCGTTATAATCTAATTTATAGACACTTATTGTGTTTTTAAGTTTTTATTTCGTGTATTATTTGTACATCTTGTAATTCCGAATAGATCAAAATTTGAATTATAAAGATAGATCAACTAGAACCGACTACAGCTGTGGTCAAGTTGATTACATTTTTGATGATTTCTTACCAACTTGGAGACATTCTAGAAATTTCCCGAAGAAGAATTTTGAAATCCTTAAGTTTCGAAAATTGCTCGACCTTTTCGACCTATAATGGTGATTATAAATCAAATT